TTCGAGCTCGGTACCGAATTTCTGTATTTCTGAATTTCTGAATTCCTGAATTTCTGAATTTCTGAATTTCTGAATTTCTGAATTTCTGAATTTCTGAATTTCTGAATTTCTGAATTTCTGAATTTCTGAATTTCTGAATTTCAAATTCGATTGTCCAATATTCGTGAGTCAAATAACTTTCCGCTTTAGACGGGCCGGCTGCCAAAAAGGGCCAAAACTGATTTATTTATATTTTATCTTCTTTTGAGATTGAGAATTTGTAAAATCTGGTTTCCAGTATTCATTTTAGTCCAAAAACCAATGTACTAGCACTTCTAGAAACCGAGATACAACCGTTCAAAGTTTTGAAGAGACGCCGACAGTTAGAGTGTCTTGTCGTCTGCGTCTCTAACTTCAAATGGTTGTATCTCGGTGCTCAGTGGTTCTAGAAGAGTGATTTAGATACTAAAATAACTAATTTTTTTGGCTTTTTTCGACCTTTTTGGCTTTTTCCGGTCATTTTTAGGAGTCTGGAACTCGGCTGTCAAGTTTCCGATCACTCTGAAAATTTTGAAAGGTATAAAGCAGACCTAGATTAGAAACTTTGCATTCACAGAATTTTTTGTAAATCCCTAGTTTTTTAGCTTTTTGCCGATTCCTAATAGTCACCTAGTTTTTCACTTTTTTCTGAATACTGGAAACCAAACTTTTCAAACTCCGATCTTAGAAAAAGATAAATTATTGCCTTTAATTTTCAGCGCCTCGGACTCCAGCTCTAAACTACCCCAACAATTCAATGCACAACAAATTCCTATGTTCTAACCAGCGGCAAATCAAAAATTACACTCTCAAATGATAAAAGTCATTTGGAAGAAACGAAAGAATTCGGAAGATCTGGATTTTTTGAATCTCGTTACTTTGGCCAATCTTACATGGATCAAGATTTCGAATTTGGACTGAAAGCTGTCAATTCAACAACTCCGACTGTTTTTAAATTTGAATTTACGACGGTTCCTTTGAAAGATGGGAATCAGTTAGATATAACTGTATATAAAGGAGGCATGGGTCAATTAACTAACTAGTGATTTTAATTTTTGAAGTTTTAAGAAAAAAAAGAACATTTTCCAGCAACAACAAACGTCCAACAAACGGAACTTTGAAAGTAACTGGAGATTACTGTCAAGTTGTTTATAACACAGCAAACGGTGGTCTCCACAATGGAAGTTTGATTCGCTACACGGTCACTCAACCAAAATTGACAATCGGATTGTCTGGAATTTTCAGCTTTATTTTTGTGGCCCTCAATATTTTTGCTTTTCACTGATGATTAACTTTCTTGCTTCATGAATGATTTCAATGTTTTAAGTAATTAATATTTTCAAAATTCGTGCACTCTGAACAAATAAATATAAAAATGCAAAAACTCGGAAATTCAAAAATTCAAAATAAGGCTTCCATTTGGTCGGGAAATTTAGCCGACCGAGCTGACCAGTTGGTCGGCACACCCACCGTTTT